ATGCTAATACTATTTGACCTCTGAGATTGGGACAACCTCGCTACAAGGGACAAAATCATTGGTCCCATAGTGTCCCTTGTTACAACATATTTTTGTTATGGAAGGCGTAGGCCATTTACTTTCTTCCCCTGCCCACCCACACATTTTAACGACATAACATGTTGCCAGCATTATTCTGTTTACAGTGGCAGCCTGGATGACCAAGAGATTGAAGAAATAGTGGAAACAGAGGAAGCATATGACATTCTCAAGCGTGGACCATCCTCCACTACACAAGTGCCACCACAAAGTGACTCCGAAGAGGCTATGGCAAACTAGGCCAGGTGTGTCGTGGCTGTGTGTTGTAAATTGCAAGAGTTTTCCTTCCAACTGCTTTGTTAAATCCTCTCATTTTCCATGTGACTTCCTTTTGTCAACAAATAGCCATAGTATGCATTTCCTTGTATGCAGTTGTAGTAGGGGACTGCCCTCATCCTTAGGTGTGTTTATGTAGAGTACAGCGCCCTTATATGGCTGAGTCCTTGCCAGTCAATGCAGTTCTACACTGTAGCCTTGCAGATGGTTTCAGTTAGGTTGTGCACACTGCATCTCCATGGGTGGCCGTTGATAGGGAACTCCCCTGTACATTCTTGAACAGCATGGTGTACAGCAACTGATTACTAAAGTCCATGCCAGTCAAGGCAGATACTGAGGCAGTTTCAGTTGGGTAGTTGTAATGGCAACACATAAACCAACCATGTGCCATTATAGTGTTCTTCCTACAAGGATGCATAGGAGATTGTGCCAAAATGCGAGAGACTACATTTACCATTGCACACATTTGTATAGCCTTGCTTGGCTCACTTGCCACTCGTTCATGAAAGGGTACATGTGCATTAGAGGGCTATCATTCACAGTGAGTGCCTATCATTCACAGAATGTGTACAAACCATAGTGTAATCCATCCCTGCCCACACCAAACACTATTTCTATTCCCCACTTGTTTCATTGTGATATCCGTGTAGTGGGGTGTCCATTGGACATATATACGACCATTAATCTGTACAGCTGCTAGGAAATACAGTCACAGCATGTGTATATACAGACCCATTAAGGAAGCTGTAGTTTCATAATGTGGGCAACATCATGTACAGTGATTCTCCATGTATGTGAATGTTCTTCCATGCTCATACCCACACCTTTGCTATAAATAGATTCATGTGTCGACTATACAAACTGTATACTGTTCATGCATGCAGTGCTCTTATTGGTGGTATTCATACTATACTGTGTGTAAGTGCAGAGTACACTGTGTATTCGCAGTGGTGGAATTTGGCTTGGCGATCAGGCAGTTCCTCCATATGCATTGTCTTTTGGACACTGAATACTATTATCAGTACCCACCCTTTGTGAAGTCATCCCTGGATCTATATAATACTGTTATTGTACTCCACACAGCGTGGTGGTGCTGAGGAGCCAGCTCACTATGGCAAACTGGACCACAGTGGCAAGAAGACTGCTACAGTTGCTCCAGCAGTTGGTGATGCTGAGTATGGGAAACTAGACAGGGTCAGTCACACTTCAATACTGATTGATCACTCCACCACCTGACCCACACCTGTATGGACTATAATGTGTTCTGGATGCGATATTATCCAACTTCACCTCACAGACCCAGATGCAGCCAGATGAACCAGGTCACTACGGTAAACTGGACCACAGCGGCAAGAAGACGCCTGTTGCTGATCCTGGCCCCTCTGAATATGGGAAACTAGACCGGGTGAGTACAGTTACTCTTCAACACACGTAACGTGCCACCTGACCCACACCTGTATGGAGTGAAAACCTTGCATCCCTCTTCACCTCACAGACCCAGATGCAGCCAGATGAACCAGGTCACTACGGTAAACTGGACCACAGCGGCAAGAAGACCAACACACTGCCTGTGGCTGATCCTGGCTCCTCTGAATATGGGAAGCTAGACCGGGTATGTGTGGCATGGTGTATGGCATGGCATACTTACCTACATAAGTATATGTCTTGTGATGTCTCCCCTGACCAATGTCACATACTGAGTTGTACATGTGTGATACTTGGTTGTCCACAGTCCCAGATGGAAGATCCTCTCCACTATGGCAAACTGGACCATCCCGGGAAGAGAGGAGCCACTCTACCTGGTGGGGTAGCTCCCACTGACCTGCCAGCTATGGGAAACTGGACAATGTGAGAAACATGTGGTGTATAGATAGATGTGGATAGTGCCCTTGTCTAAAAGGTATCATGTGACAAGGAAACACTGTAAGTGGCTAGTTTCACTATGCCATGTGTGCATTGCCAAGTTTGCTCATATATAGCATGAGCACATGAGTAAACACACCAGGCCAGCCTGCAAAGCATGCACTTATCCTTACAAGGTTAGAGTACATGACTACACGTGCCTTAACTGTGTCTGTATGGTGGTGGTGTGCATGTGAACATTGTTGGGTATTATCATGTCAGCACTGGAGTGTATATAGCAAACCGCTTTGGTGGCAGTGAAGCATGAAAAGTGTGCCTTGTATTGTATACACAGCCACTGAGTGCATAGAGACTTGTAGGCTTGCTAATGCTGACTGCTATGCCAGCTATGTAATCTTACATGGTACCATCCCAATTTACATCATTACTGTGTACTCTCTCTCTCCCCTCCACCCAGACCCAGATGCAGGCTAGTGGCAGCTCTGCTAGAGGTGGTGACATGTACGACACAGTGTCCCATGAACCTCGTCACAAAGTCCCTTCCTCAAAGTCGAAGAGACAGCACTCTAGCAGTGGTGAGGAGGCCTCTCTACTGTAGTCACATGTGCGTTCATCAACAGCACACCACACCACTCTAAACACTCCAAACACTCTTCTATATCCCACTTGCTAGACAAAACTCCTTCAGAAACTCTTAGATGTGCCCCACTTTACACCTCTGTTCCCACAGTGGCACTAGCTCAGCTGTTAACTATATATAAGTGGTAAAGAGATGACAATTGTTACTGTCTTACTGTTTTGCAGCAAATTTATATACCACAGTATCTAGTGAGTTTTTGGAGACGATATCCATCGTCCCACTATTTTAGTTCTCTGGGAGAGTAGTATTACCACTACAACAGAAATTCCAGCAATTAAAGTGCAAACCCTCCGCGAACTGCGCATGCGCAGTAAGCTTACCACTATTGATAGGCTGGGCTTTAGTATGCGTTTACCCGTGGTCTCCCGCTATAGCTTGCTGAGAGTCTGACACGGACTGGCTACAGTAGTAGATAGCATGCGGGAGCCGATACACACCCTTTTTTGAAGGAAGGTGTAAATGCAGGTTTTAGATTACCTTTCGGCAACACATAAGTCGCCTTCTTTGCTTCCGTGATTTTCTGAAAAATATATTCAATAAGAGTAGTCATGCCCAGCTACCAGGGCAGCTTAGGTGGTTTTCATTTACTCTACCTATACCACCCACTCATTTTGGTTGGTTGAATCCCCACATTCATACCCCTGAGATGAGGGAGGGTTAGCACACTTGACAGTATAGTGAGACAGACGAGCCACCCACTTAGGACCAGAAGTGAGAGGACAAAGGAAGCTATCAGCAGACCATCTCTAACACCCACTGTTCCACTGGGAGACCTACACAAGGAGTCATCTCCTCTCACATATTCATCATCCTCTGAGAAATCTGATGACAAGTGAAATGTACACTAATACACTTAATTAGGTAGCCAACCAACCTTACCATTTGCAACCATGTATCCAAGGAATGCAAGTCATAGAACAGTCTCTAGAACAGGAGTAACTATCACAAGGAACAATGTTGGAAAACACCAGGCAGTGCCTGCAGGGATTGAAACTCACTATCTATACAGACACAGACTACTACCACTACCTTTTGTAGTTCTCTGGGAGAGTAGTATTACCACTACAACAGAAATTCCCACTCCAGCAATGAAGAACAAGAGTCCTATCACTATCATTGCAACGTTTGAAGTACTCAACTTTCCTGGCTGAGAGGCTGCATGAAAATGGAGAAAGATTAACTGCACTTTTAGTCACAGACTCAACGAGATCTCTTTATACACCTTTTGCTACATTAGGGTGTCTCTCCATTCCATTGCACGTTAGCACACATGTCTCTCCTCTGGAGAATGACTCAAGATGCAGTAATCTTGAGAAGTAGTGTAGGTAGCAGTACTGCCAATGGCAATTCCAGTGTATGAAGCACATAAGCTTGTCTCAGATCACGGCTACAACACAGAACATCGTCTGTGACTTTTGTTTCATCACATCTCATCAGTAGATCATCCACAAGCATACTGAATCAATAGCAGACAAATATCAGCGTCATACAAAACCCTTCCCATGCAAAAGGCAGAGCAATGTAGCTATTATCTAACAGCTTCATAAAGTGACATTATAACTATTTACCCTTAACAATCCCTTGAGATGGAAGAACCCAGTTATCATTTCCACATCTGCTCGTGAACATCTGTCTTCCATTAACAAGGAAACGTTCATTGGTGGTGTAGGTAGCAGTAGATCCCAGGAGATACTCCATCAAATGTCACATTCCCTCCAGAAAATGAGTAGATGCCCAGACCCCCTTGAAACATATGAGTTTCACTCCAACCAACGTTAGATATCCGCAAATCATTTGGATCACAAACTGTCAGAAGGAACAAGAATTAGATAATGTACAAATAACACCTTCCCTCACTCACAAATGGATATGTCAGAGGCATCGGTCCTCTGGGTGACACAACCCAGGACCTCCACAGCCACAGAATATGAGGTAGTGATGCTCTCAGAGGAAAAAAGTGTATCTGCAGTTGTCTCTAGTGCAGTTGTCTGCAGTGACAATATCAAACTGTTCTCTCAACTCCAGATCCATTACTGATGACAAGTCTGTAGTCAGCCTCTCTCCCTAGAACCTGACATTAATTAAACCAAGAGATAATTACTACCATTTGTATGAGAATGTCTTACATAAGCTCTTGGCCAGTTGACAATGATGGAGTCTACATCCAGTGATGTCACGGTGGACATTATATTGTACACATATTGATAGGTGAAAGGTTGATTTGTTCTCTCCATACCTAGCTAGGCAAGCATAATTATTAAAAGACATGATTGTTAAAAGTTATACATGAGCTAGTGCAATGAAACACCACATTGAAGTAACAGTATTCAAACCTCTTAAATTCGCTGTGTTCGTTGCAATCTCTCCAGTCAGTGTGTTATTACAGGTGTCAGCTCTGACAGTAATGTCACTCTGATTCACGTTGACAGTGAGACTGTACTGGGTCTGAGTACCAGGTGTGGTGATGACTGAACTACCATCCATGACCATACAGTCTCCAGATGACTGGCAATCAGAGGTGGGCGGAGTCACAGTCAACACATACTGAGACACAGTGCCACCACAACTGACGATGGCCTCACTCCACTCCACACTCACCACACACTCTCCCCCTCTTCCCACATCTCTCTGTGAGATGGTGGCTGAGTTGATTTGAGAGTGTGATAGAAGATCTGTAGAATGATTGTTTATAGCTATGCATGACTCTCACAAAAACCAAGCCAACCTAAGATACAGATCTCCTGGTCAACATCTCCATCAAGACATTGTATTCTGGTCATATTGAGACTTTCATCCACTGACTGTGTAGTCAGAGTAGAGGAGCCATCTTCAGTGATTTTCACAGAGAATTCATCATTTGGTCCACATGTTGGGTCTGTGACTAAAGGCATTGGTAATCTTAGTGCAGTACATGTCGTAACTGTTCCTCCATCAGGTGTAACTCCCCAGGTGTATGAACTTGTACTTGTTTGACATGTGAATGTCAGATTGCCTCCAGGACACGTGTTGACACTTGAAATACCTTATGAAGAAAGAGTAATGATCTTTTACAATGATGAAACCACTATTATCATTCAAGAAGCTCCATGGCTTGCCTGAAAGTGAAGCAAAGATGCAGCAGATGAGCAACCAGAATTCCATTCTAAAGTAGCTTAACTCTTTGCATTGGGGTTAAAATTTCAAAGTTTCATGATGGTGCTGGAAAGCTGCTGGTTAGCAAAAAAATGCTCCTAATATGTCCTTTTATGTTTCTGTGTAGACAGCTAGCATCCTCACAGTTTGCCAGGAGCAGTGATTCACTGCAGGTGCAATTCCCTTTCTTTGGAGTTACTGCAAATGTGTGGAATGTATATAACCGCCCCCGTTATGCTATTTCAACAATGCATAGCTATAGTGGCTGTGTGTGTCAAGAAATTTACCTAGATCTAATGTAACTAGTATATAGAGAGACAGGGTAATGACAAGTACACATACCTTTATGGTTACCGCTTGGTACCAGCACGCATGCCCACACAGGGGATCCTCTTCGGTTTTGTACTCGTGTGACTCGGTATGGGGAGCAAGCTTGACTAAACCTCACTGAAAGAGTGCCCAGCCCAAGCCCAAGCCCAAGTGAGCCCTTTGCCCAAAAGACAACCCTCTTATTTACTTTTAGGCTGAAACGTGGTTCGATCTCCTGCCATACACCTTGAGTTTACAAAAATCATTTTATTTTCAACTTGACTAAGAAGCAATTAAGGGATAAGCTACAACCGTACTGAATGTTCACATGGTAGTATTATAGCTACATCACAGCTGCACTTGTCCATAAGCAGTGTTGCGAGAGGTGGGAATGTTGTCCTTGTGTATAGGACCATATGCCTCATTGGAGGTCAGCTGAATGTCTTGTGAACTCTTGACCTCTCTTGCCACACCCACCTCCTCATAGGTGACTGGTGGAGGGAGGGGAGGGGGAGAGGAGGAGGTGGGGCCAGACATCCTGCCCCTCACTCTCTGTATGAGGTACAGTCCCACCACTCCCAGTAGAACTCCAATAGTTAGAAACACAAAACTGCACACAACACCAACAATTACTACTGTAGCTGCATTTTCCTCTTTTATTTCAGATCCAGTCTCATGCTCTAAATGAAAGAAGGTTGGACATAATTATTAATCGTAGCATTTCCCCACACATTAAGGTGTGGTGCATTCAACTCACTTGCATTGCTGATTATCAGCTCAGGAGCTGTCCACATGTTATTAATTGTGCATCTTCTCTCCAGGATTCTAACTCCATTAACTAGATAGCCTTCTGAAGTTCTGTATGTGGCAGTAGATCCCAGGGACACTCCATTGTAGGTCACATTTCCACCAGGAAATGAATAGACGCCCATTCCATCAGCTGTGAACTCTGGCATTGCTGCCCAGTCAGCACCAGGTAACAGTAGGTCTTCTGGAGAACAAACTGAGGAAAAAAGGTAGTTAAAGTTAGGGTGTTTACTTTTCCCATAGGGGTTAATTATAAGAAATGTTGCATAGAGCTGCAGATAGTTAGTGTGGACAAAGAGTTTCCAGAGTAGGTTCTTCTCGCTTTTTATGGAAGATGGCTAAAAATATATATATTTCCCACTTCGAGTTAACACATTTTCAGAATGTTTTTGTCTGTGTGTGTGCATGTGCCATGTGTACATGTGTGTGTGTATATGTGTGGGAGAGGGAGAAAGAGGGAAATGGTGGGGGAGTACACCCACATCTTTGCATTAACACCATCCTCACCATGACTGGTGGCGTCAGTCTCATCAGTGGTGGGGGTTGGATCATCAGAGACCTCACCACGAACCTCTAGTGCATTGTCAACTCCCAGATCCCTGCCTGTCACTGACTGGGGAACTCCTCCAATTAAGGAATAATGAATCACCTCGACCGCTCCCTCTTCCCTGAGACACACAGACATGCGCATTACACCACCGAGAGGTGAGAGGATAGAAACACCTGTCGATATTGATGGTAGTGGTAGTTGAGCTGTTTAGAACCAGAGACACCAGACAGCCAGAGGAGAGAGAGCCGGTGGCAAAGACACATGTGATCCTGGCTGTCCCATTCTCATAGTGGAACACTGCCACACTCTGGAGACCTGAGGTGACTGTAGAGAGAAGCAGATAACCCAGATCACACTCACCAGTGACTCCACCCACCAAATGAGACCTCTGTTGTCATGGGATCATCAATGGAGAAATGGAAATGGTTGCTGGCAGACAGCGTGGCTGAGTAGCGAGAGTTCTCCTTCAGACCAGTCGCCTCAGCCACCATCTCTGACTCTGACACGGTCAGCTGGACTGCTATCACCTCCTGCGGTCCTCCTTCCTCAGAGAGGGTTAGGGTGTAGTTTAGAGGGAAACAGGACTCGGGCCTCTGCACAAGAGAAGGGGACGAATTGTTCAAGACTTTCGAAAGTATCATTTGCAGGCATACATTTCTAGCCACTCCTGTACATTTCACAAATGGTTCCACAGCAACAGAGGCCAATGCACATGAGGAACGAACCTGGAAGAAAAGTCTGAGAACAGCTCTGGAGTCAGAAAGCTGTTGGCTGTCGTGAGAGACTTCAGTTGTTACCGCCCCTAGAGGACCTGGAGCTGTCAGAGAGAGAGAGAGAAGAAAAGCGAAAGTGCTACTGAAGGGGTAGCTACATAAGAGCTTTGTATATAAGCAGTTCTGTCCACCCAAGTATCGCTGTCAAAGATCTTCTAAACCTGTTCTCCCTAAAAAGTTCCCAGCTACAGCATGGTGTATGAGGCATAGCTCACCAGAGGGATGTAAGGCAGGAGTAGAGGAGGACGAGTTGAGAGAGAGACCGACATCATTGAGAGAGAAGACAGAGAAGGAGTAGAGGTGGCAGTCGAGTGCCTGTCTCTCGGAGATCTGGTGGGTGAAGCTGGTGTCATTCAGAGGCCCCAGTGAGGAGGTGAAGCCCGTGGCCTCGTCAGTGACCAGAAGAGAGTAGGAGATAAGTTCTCCTGGTAGAGAGAAGGGAGGAGTCCAGGTCACTCTCAGCTGGTGGACCCTCTCTCCCACCACCTCTACTTCTCCTGGTGCCAGAGGGAGACCTGAAGGAGGGTGGACACCAGTGAACACTGTTGGGACAAGCCTTGTCCCTTAGTTCCATGTGTTCTTCATTTTAGTTAATAACATGTATAGTCTTGTGCCGACACGTGCTCCTGGGCGAAAGAGGGTCTGGTAAGTAAAGTCCGATTTCTTGGTTGTGCTGAATCAGCATGTGTACGTGAATTGCGTAATTCAACCTGTAAGTCATGTGATTACCTGGTCAAGCACTCCAATTCTGTTGCGCTGCACATGCGCAGAACCGGTTGGCATTGCAGAGCGCCTTCATGTCACATGATAGTTTTAAATCCGGCAATCTGATTGGGTTACCCGTTTTCCATACATGCTGACTCAGCACAACCAAGAAATCAGACCTTATATACCAGACCCTCTTTCGTGCGGGAGCACGTGAGGGTCTGGGCACAAGACTATAACATGTACTACATGAACGTGACAGGAGGTGCTCGTTATTTGGAAATGTCCATTACACTGTAATGCTCTCAGGTATGAACTGAGCTTCATTTGCAGCTTGTTTTCCTCAGTGTCATTATCGCGGTTGTCATATCTGCATTAGTTATAACATGCTATGCATCTTCCGCTGGTTTTCTGCTAAAATTTATTTACAAAATAGACATTGAAAGTAACTAATAGGCATATTGAAAGACATGTGTGTAACAAGAAACAAAATTTAGCTGCAGCAAAGTTCAGGGCAACAAACTTGTAATTTAAAATTAATGACTTGGTAAAAATGCCCAAAAGTTTTGAAACAACAAATCACAAATCAATGCACCCATGAAAAATGAAGGTTCCACCATTATCAGGTGAGGTGGTAGAAAGGGGGAGGAGGCCTCCCTACATATTTTATCAGGAGACCAACAAAATGTACAGTCCACTATCTGATGTGTACTATGTAGGACAGTGGGTGGAGGAGAACAATAGTTGTAATAGTTGTTTGAAGGGGAAAACTGACACTCCACTGGGGTTTGTAGTGTTGTTCCATCAGAGTATATACACAATGCATGATAACCCAGTGTGGCGGATAAGAACTACTGAAAGTGGTTGATAAGCTAGCCTCGTACCCTCAGAAGAGAAATTGTGTTCAGTCAACTTACTGTCACGTAAGCACATGACCACTGAGTATGCAGCTCTGTGCTACACAGGCAGATCCAATTGGAAATGGACCATCACCGCAAAAAATGATGATTATGACAAACACTGCATTGTAGCTCCCTTTTGTTTTGAGTTTGATAAAATTCCCTCCTACAGAACTATAGTGTGTGTGCAATGTTGGTGGAAAGAGCTGGCAGGGTGGAGAGTTGCCTGGAAACCACAGCGGATGTGTCCCTCCTACAGAGGAACTGGTGACACAGCCCACGGTAGTTACAGGTGTAGTCATGGAATGTATACCCATCATGGTATATAGTCATGTACTACATACTGTATCTTAATAATTATGGAGCCCTAGGGTTAGCAGGTGGAGGGGGTGAGTAGGCACATTTGGTAGTCATGTACTGTCTTAATATGGAGCCCTAGGGTTAGCAGGTGGAGGGGGTGAGTAGGCACATTTGGTAGTCATGTACTGTCTTGATATGGAGCCCTAGGGTTAGCAGGTGGAGGGGGTGAGTAGGCACATTTTGGTAGTCATGTACTGTCTTGATATGGAGCCCTAGGGTTAGCAGGTGGAGGGGGTGAGTAGACACATTTGGTAGTCATGTATATACTCATAATGTGTCTTGATATAGAGCCCTAGGGTTAGCAGGTGGATGGGGTGAGTAGGCACATGGTGTACATACTGTAGTCTAGAGACTCTTTTTAGTAATTATACTTACTACAGTGGCATGTTCACCTATATAATGTATATATGATCTTCCACAATGTCATCATTACCAAAGCATCAGTATATATCCTGATGGGAAGGTCCGTCGTGGTTTTAAAATTCTGAAATCCAACCCCTTTAACATCCCACCACCATCTTCAGAAAGGAGTTATAATGTACCCTCAACTGTAAGAACTACTTGGCAAGAAAGGTTTTACGCTACTAACCTGGAAACAAATGGAAATCAACTCATTGCTAATTAATAAGGCAGAAAAGCCAGGCAATGGACCAGCAAAGCACCCGGCACTAAAGAAGATCAACCTTGAAGTGGAGTAAGATGAAACACTAGAGGCCACGATGAGAGGTTCAACTATATGTACCAATACACCACAGCTGTAGAGTGCTGAGTTAGCCCCCCTTCCTTGATGTCGTCATTGCAACCCTTGTGTGGGAAGCCTTTGGAACTACCACAAATCACTATTTCTCGCCCAGCTCTGCCCCCATACAGTACAATATATCAGTCGCTGCAAACTCAGACACCACAGTAGTAAGTAACACACAACAGTCCCAGCTACTAACCGTAGACAGTGAAGGTGATGGTCTCTCCATCCTGCAGGTCAAACTGAGTTGGTCCAGCCTGACAGCTAATGCCCTCAATTGATTCATTGACATGGAGTGTGGCAGGAATGGTGATGGTGATCCTGGTTCCTCCAGGAACAGCCTCGGGCCCTCCCACTTCAAGTATGAACCCATTCTGTTGGAGGGGCTCAATGGCTGACTCGTCAAACAGTTGTACGTCGTTAATTCTCCACACCAGCTCTGGCTGGTCAGTTACACACTCCAGAGATACATTAGACCCGAGAGGAGCTGTCACATTGTCAGGGTAGACTAGGAACACTGCACTCGGAAGTGAGAAGAGAGGGGGAGGGTGGAAAGAAAATGTTTAGTGAACCTACTCAGTTGAAAAGAGAGGGAGGACACAGAATGAGGTGATGGGTGGTGGAGATATGTAGTACATGCAGCACAAACATACTAAATTTGATTCCAAACATGGCATATTTGGTCACCTAAAACATCACACCCTCGGAGAGGTTTGGGAAATTGGCTCAGTAAGTAGCCTCAGTAGTGTAAGGCCCCTGCTGTGTTGAGCAACCAGTGAGAAAAACAAGGTATTGTTCAAAGGGGGGAGGTGCTCGTACAGCGGGCGGTGGGGACTTCGCGCAAAAGAAATTTATGCGCTAGCTGCGTCAATTGCTGAGTATATTATGCGCCGACAGAGCAAACACTGCGTAGCTAGTTGAGTTATACAGAGTCCACCAAGCCTAGATCTTCAAACTAACATTGCTAGAGCTGGACTTACATTAGTCTGGTGCCCAGACCCTTCACAAAATATATTCGCACGCGTAAACGCATGCGCCAGGGAGGGAGAGAAGGGTCTGGTAAAAATAACTATGCCTCTCCAGGGCCAAGGAATTTCAGCAACCACTTATCTCGAGTGGCGCCGTAGAGGCTTGAGTGACAGCAAACCAAGTGCTTCAACAGCCTTGTAGACTAGACTTACATACCAGGCATTTGTGCAGAGACGAGAAGAGGTAGAGCTAGCAGCAGTAGTGGTAGCAGAGGTGGAGTGGTAAGGGCAGGGCTGCGGCGACCAGATCCTACTACCAGCCGCATCTTCATCAACCACTCTCGGAATTGAAAACCACACACGAGATCGCTTACTGGGCGTCGTTTGTTCCAAAACTCATTCTCCGAAAATGCATATAATATGTCCACTATAATATAAATTTGCTGCAAAATTTAGGATATGTAGCTACGACGACATTTTTAAATCGACCATGACATTTATAAATCGACCAGAGAACGATGCTGCATATCGAAGGGTGTGGCGTGTGCATGCGTCAAACTCCTGAAAACGGACTCCGGCCTACCGCTTTCTTATGCACGCACACTCAAGCGTCCTTTGCCACGCCTCCCGTGTCAATTATTGGCGAGCGGGAGCGAGCTAACCTAGTGGTACGAACGGCGCGGATCTACGATCGTACGTCGTCCAACTGCGCATGCCCGCCAGGATTACGCGCTTCTTTTTATCCGAAAGGATTTCAAACTTTCACATGCTGCCTGCGCGGCCTGTCGTGCGTATACATGTGCGTTTCGGATGCCACCGGCCCCTGAGACTCCGGCAGAGCCCTTTTGTATCACGCTCGGGTGGACGGCTCCCGCCTAGCTGTCATATCGATGCGAAATATAACCAACCAAAGAACTCTCTTCTATTTGCTGGCATTCGCTGCGCTCTTCGATACCTGACCGAGGCTGTCTATACCTCCTTCCAATCTTCCTGATTCTAAGGTTCAAGTTGTAGGATGGCTAGTGCAGATAGAGTCATTGTGTGCTCGCTCCCGCTCGCCAAAAATGCCATGCATTCGCCTACTACGGGGGTCATAAATGTCATGATCGATTTATTGGCGAGCGGAAGCGAGTTAACCTAGAGGTCCGAACGGCGCGATTTGTCACCGTATATATATAGCTACGTCGCCGAACTGCGCATGTCACCGTACGTCGTCGGTACGTCGCCCACCCCTCAGTGGGCTCCACCCCTGATAATTTGTGAGCGTGTGAGGAAAGGGAAACTAGTTATGGACGGTGTAGAGAAGATGCTCTTCGTCGTCGACGAGAAAGGGAAAGAGGTCGTGCCAGTGAGACTCCTGAGCAGAGAGAAGCTCGGCTTTCTCAACGCCGATTGCGTGATCGGGAACGGGCAAGGCAACGCCGGGCAACAGAAACAGCGGAGGAAAGGGAAGTGCGACTAGCGTGTACGATCAAGAGCTAGACGGGGTGCAGAATCCGAGGAGGCATATCATGCCAGGCTCCAACAGCTTTCAAAGCGCCAAATTGCTGCCGAGTCCAGTGAGGAGAGGGAAGCCCGCCTACAGCTGCTACGCAATGTATCTCACTGTTTCGTGCACACACAAGAGTGACTCATGCGATTAGACCCCATTTGTAAGCTCGCTTCCGCAATGCCATGCATTCGCCTACTAGTAAATCTCATGGTCGATTTATAAATGTCGTCGTACATTTATATATAGTGGACATAAGCTTATTACCTATGCATTTTCGGAGAATGAGTTTTGGAACAAACGGCGCCCCGTAATCGCTCGGACACTTTTGGGGGTCGCAGACTGGAAATATACGGAGAAAGTTTGTACCAGCATTTTCTACGTTTCCGGAGACAGGAATTCGATCTTCAACAGACAGAGCCAGCGAAACCGTGCACAGCTAGTGGCGTAGAACCACGGTGGCTCTGGGGCGGCGCCACCCTATTATTTTCTCGGGCTGGCTCTGGGTGTGTGGCAGCGCCTGTGTTTTTTACGCATGCGCGTGGAGCCCCCCTTTGTCCGAACATCGCTACTATACTACTGGTGTGCAGGATCAGTAGCTGTGGATTGTGAGGACTCAAAGAGGGATCAAGCTGGAGGATGGGTGTAGAAAGAAGTCTCGTCACGCTGGTCGCTTCTCTTTGCTTGCTAACCTGCACTTCAGCCCAGGATTCAGCCAGTGAGTGGCGTGCTAGTTGCGGCTAATGGCGCCTAGGAAGAGAGGGAGTATATAACTCACCTCCTTGTCAATGAGTGTGGTTGTGTGACTGCAGGTATCTCGGAGGAGGAGGGCAACTTGTGTGTGACAGTCATTGTCACTACAGAGGAGGCCAGCTACACCTGCACCAGTGAGCAGGACCTCATTCTGTGGAGAGTTGGCTCACGGCAGATAGCTGGGACCATGGTTGAGGTGAATGGAGTACAGGTCAACACCACAACCATACCGGGAGAAGGCTACAGCTCTACCATTGTCTTCACTCCACCTTCCTGGAGGTCATGGCTGATGGCTCAGAGATAGAGGTGGCCTGTCTGGTACAGAGAGAACTGTTCCAGATCATTGAGGCTGACAACAGGACCCTCGTGGTGTTCAGTGAGTTACACCCACTGAAAAGGTGTTGGAGGGGATGTAGCTGAGCCCAGCTCCAGAATGAGCAAACAGATGAGAGTACAGCTTCATATCGCAAGTTCTAGTTGGTAAGAGACGGACCTTTTCCCCACACATTTTACATTGGGGTGGTAACAAAGAAGATTACTGTGCAGTTGGAACCTTCCACTGGAGAGCTCTCATGGTTTGCAGGGTATATATCACTCCTGCAAAGCAAACCATAATTCCTTGCTATACCCAGTAAGTTAAACATGCATCTGCCAGTCTTTACTACTAGTGGCAAAGTTCTAACTGTTTAACATGAAGTAATTTCCTAGCATATTGGACACTATACTATGTTAGTACATTTCTGGCCAGTTTGTGCTCATAATAAGACATTCTCCCATCTGATGATGCCACCCTAACATACAGATTCCTGGAATGTCTGCCAGTCTCTCTCGGGCACTGGCTCAATGACTGGAATTTGAGCCTTCAGCTCCCCTACCATTGAGAGAGTGGCCCTACCTCTTAGTGAGTCATGACCACACCCACTGACCACACCCCCATTCCATGTGTTCTGTTTCGTGCAGGTCCCAATGTGGAGAGAATAAATGCACGAGCCACACCCATTGTGGTAGAAGATGAAATTCTGATAGAGTTGGTCTTTAAGGTGAGTGCCTGTTATAGCTGTGACCCTGGACTCTTTCTTTTCCCTCTGCCCCAGCCTGCCACCACATGTGATGAGGTGACCTACCCAATACTGAACTATGATCACCATTCCTGAGCTCCCTTTCTCCGCGACCCTCCCCACACTGGGAAGGGTGTGGCCCTCAACCTCTCGTCCCCTGATTTCACCATTGCCAACTACTCCATCATCATCAGTGCCTCTGCCAGTTTTGGATGTCGCCCTCTGACACTCTGTTAGTCTCCCTCTCTCTCATGTCGTCCACTTTTTTACTCCACCACTGTTGGCAGCTTTGCGTATATAGACATTGAAAAACAGTTTTTGAATCAGAATTTTAGGGAGTAAACTGTCTTGTTCTGTTGTTGGATCCCTGCCTAAACATTTTCCTTCGTCACTACAGTACCTCTCTTTTCTTCCACTTTATCTTATATCTCTCAATCCACCCCTTCCCCCAGTGACCAGTGAAGTCCAGAGTGCCAGTATGTTGTTCCTGAGCACCACAGTTTCCTTGACATGTGAGTTCACAGCCACTGGGTCAGCCAGTGCCTGCAGGTTCACTCTGACCCTGGCCTCTGGAGACAGCGAGAGTCTCGAAATTCCTCGACCAGAATAACAGGTTCATTCCCCTCTTCTTCTTATCTCCATCGTTTCCTCTTTCTCCTTCTCTTTTCCTTTCTCTGTACACTGGAGAGCATTCTATGGACAGATAATTATACTTCAGCAATTCCCTTATCTCCTTGTATTTGCCTTCAGTTATCATCTCCCTCCTGTCCCTATTCTTATCCTCTCTTCTGCATGCTCTAATGACAGACATGGTGGAGAAATCAACACTCTCCAATTGTGAGCTCCACACCACACCCACTCATGCTGACTAGTCACTCAAAGTATACATGTAGCATTCCTGCCTTTGTGATCCCTCATACTCAACCTGAACATGCAATTACGTATAGTAATTCCCCCCTTCCCCTCTGCAGCTGAGATAGCAGCCATCATCATAATAGTTCTATATAGTGCTGTTCATTCTCCTGGTCCTGACCCTCTGTGGCATCGTCTTGTGGAAGAGACAGTCTGTAGGTCACATGACTAGTCACATGACCCATGACATCATCAGTCACACCCTCAGATATCCTCGGCTTACAAGAACTGGGTCCACCCCCTAACCGAAGATGATGACAGAAGGGAGGCCCAGCCACCACACCCACTGATAAACCAACCATCATGATGCTAATGAACAACCTTGTCCCTGCCGTTTGCAGCTTCCGAAGAAGAGGAGTTGAGTAACTGGAGCCCCACTCTCTTGTGGCTGGGATTTTCATTCTTCTTTACTGGAATAGCCTTGCAATGGTGGGCATTTCTGTACCAGGTCAGAAATGGAGGAGCTTTACATAAGAGATTTATGTGGAGAGAAGCTCGTTACATATACCTGGGAATAGATTTGCATGTAGAGCAATTATGTTACCTGAGACTGAAGCCAGATATTATGGAGGTAGCTATAATATAAATTACTGTGTATAGATGATTTCTGTGAAGAGTTGTATATCTGCTGCTGTTTTGGTTATTACAGCGGTTGTGAAGAAGTGGTACTGGGGTTTGCGGGCTTTCTTTATATTCTTCACCGTCGCGGCCGTGCCTCTGTGGCTGGCCCTGCTGGGATACACCGTCAGTAATGGTACGTAGCTACCTACCATCGCTGTTAGTCTATTTATTGTCTCCCTCTGGAAATAAGTGCTGCTAAAATAATTTTAATGTTTTTTGTGTGAGTTTCAAAGTATACGAGAACCATTTTGTTCATTTTTTATACCAAGCAAGTAAACTGCAGAATGAAAATGGTTAAACAAACAAAAAAACTCCCTCACAGTTTTCACTATGTGTAGGACTGTGGTACTCAGCATACTGTACACAATAAGTGTGTATGCTGGTGAGCATAATTATCATAGTGCCCCCACTGATAATGTGTGTCTCCAGATTTCTCTGAAGACGATGGTGATCTGAGAGGGAGCGACTCGTCCTGCCAGTCTCCCAGTGGGGAGATGAACGTGAGGAATGGCATTCTGATTGCCGTCTTTGTCCTCAGCAATCTGGTCCATACGACGGGGATCCTCCTCTTTGGATTAGGATACTGCGGACTCCAGTACTTTGGACCTGACGGGTAAGGTCCCCTGTCGCTTCTTACAGGCAGCTCTATAGACTCTCTATGAATACGTTTCTCTCTCTCTCTATCACAGGACTCCAATACCTACCAGATGTTGTTGTTGTGGCAAGGTCAGCTATTATATCAAACCAGTTGTGTTAGCTTGTGTGTAGTATATACTGCACATATGGAGAGGAGTAGAAACGTGATCGAGGACCCTCGGAATAATAATTATGCGCCTATTAAGAACACCTGTTGAAAGGACACCTAAATGTAGATGTTCCCAAGGATGTCCTAAGGTGTATGTAATTCAGAGGGTTACTGCTGTAGTTATTATGAGCACAACAACCACTCCCAGAGCAGGTATGTATGTATGTAAACCATAGCTCTCTATTGAAATTCACTAGCCAAGCATATCCCATGTCACTATATACATGCATGAGTGTGACAGAGATTATACAATATGACATAAACATACTTATGTTCCTCTCTACTCTCAGAACAAGTGTCGTCAAGGTTGTGGTCCTCCTAGTGTAGGCAACAAAATCCCTCTCAAAGAGGAGATCTGAGTGTGACACTCGGCACTATCGCTAGCTGGTGAGTGCCAAGTTGCTGCAAATTTGGCTAAGTGCCCAAACTATAATGTTGTAACCAGCAAAAGTGTTATGGGCTTAATGGCATAGTATGCTACAGCCTGTGCACTTTAGATGTATGACCTTGAGATAATGTAGCACAGTGTATAATATATGGCTATGATATACGTGCATGTGGGTTATGGCCACCACAATGATAAGTATTCCCTGAGGACTCTTGTTTGTTTAGGTTGTTGGGATTGCTGTTGTAAGGGGTGAGTTTATGGAATGTAATCCAGTAGTAGAGTGACAGAATGCATGTGAGATCAAGCAAATGTGCATGTAGCACCTCAGAGAACGTGTCAGAACTGATCTATGAGGATCCATATGCATGGCAAGCATGATGACAATTAATGGTTGTAGTAGTGCAGTAGCTAAGACGTCAGAGCACATGCACAATCAGGGGGGAAACTCCCGATTGACGAATCACTCCCCTAGAAGGTAATTATACTGGGTCTTGATGTGATATGGTACCCCTCTCTCTTTGCAGATATAATTTTGAAAGACACTGTACTATATACCTTCATACACAGTACTCTAACCTTATACTATGCAGTGCTTATGTAAACTTGTTGTAGACTTGTGTCTACCATAAAATTATTATTGTTATATAGGAGTATTATCTAAGCATAGAGCCAGGCAACTAGACTCATTTCCTCATTGGAGGGGGAGGGGAGAAGGTGGGGGGAGGGGAGGGGGAGAGGAAACACTATAACTAAGTAGAAACATTTTTCCACTTGTTATGCATACCTCGGAGCGCAAAATTTTCTGCAACGAAAACTTGTTGAGTATCTCATGTGTTATAGTCAGTAACTTCAGAAGAAAGAAGAGCCATATTATTTTTAGAATGTAAAGCTGTTTGCATGTGTGTGTATGAAAAAGGCCCATGCTCTATATTATACACAAGGGAGAAAAGGGTTAAATATATAGGGGCAGACATCCTGCCCATCAAAGTATACACAGACCAATGCACGTTTAACACGCAATAGTGTAGACAGAAAAATGTTTTTCAACTCGACTAAGAAGCAATTACGGGGATAAGCTACAATCGTACAGAGTTCACATGGTTGTTAATTATAGCTACATCACAGCTGCACTTGTCCATAAGCAGTGTTGCGAGAGGTGGGGAATGTTGTCCTTGTTTATAGGACCATATGCCTCATTGGAGGTCAGCTGAATGTCTTGTGAACTCTTGACCTCTCTTGCCACATCCACCTCCTCATAGGTGACAGGTGGAGGGGAGGGAGGGGGAGAGGAGGAGGTGACCTGCCCCTCACTCTCTGTATGAGGTACACTCCCACCACTCCCAGTAGAACTCCAATAGTTAGAAACACAAGACTGCACACAACAACGACTATTACAGTTTGATCGTCTTCCGTTAATCCATATTCAGTAGTACTATTGGTACATTGAGGTGTGGTGCTTTCCAACTCACTTTCGTTACTGATTATCAGCTCGAGAGCTGTCCATATGTTATCCTTACATCTTCTCTCCAGCATTCTAACTCCATTGACTAGATAGCCTTCTGAAGCTCTGTATGTGGCAGTAGATCCCAGGGACACTCCATTGTAGGTCACATTTCCACCAGGAAATGAATAGACACCCTGTCCGTCAGCTGTGAACTCTGGTATTGCTGTCCAGTCAACACCAGGTAACAGTAGGTCTTCTGGAGAACAAACTGAGGAAAGGTTTTGTCTAAAAATGGTCCAGAAACAAGAACAAAGGAACAGCTTACCTGACGAAGTATTCTTCAAACTTATTCTCTGAGTGACACATCCCACCACATCCACAGTCACAGAAGAGGAAGAAGTGAGAGAGTCAGAGTAATGGATGTAGCCACACATCTCTCCACTACAGTCTAGTGATGTCACAATATGAATGACTTGTTCATCAATTACAACTCTGTAGGCAGTCTCTCTACCAAGAACCTGATGAAATTCTTATCATAATGAAACATGTGGTACTTGGGAAGCTTACATAATATCGTCCCCACGTGACGTTAACAGCGTCTACATCCAGGGTCATTATATTGTAGATATAGTTGAAGGAAGACTCAACTCCACCACTACTGGCGGCTGTAGTACACATACAATCAACCTCTATTATGTACATACACAATATCAACCCCACCTGTGAGGTTCACAGTGTACACATCACTGGTGTTGGCACAAGTACTGACAGTAAAGTCATACTCCAGACCAACACTTCCATCCACAGAGAGTGTAATCTGGGACTCAGTGGTAGAGAAGGTCTCCACTGGACTACCACTGATGACCTCACAGTCACCAGACCCAGACAGACATGGAGTGGCAGTCACAGTGTATGGCACATCTCCACTGCAACTGACAACAGCCTCACTCCACTCCAAACTCAGTTGACACATGTTTTCTTCATCACCAAATCCACTGACTGTGGCAAACTGGAATTCTGGGGACTCCAGCATATTCACATCTGTACACAACAATGACAATTCCAGTTTAGCTATTCTATATAACGTTCTTGCATGGGTGGGTGACTATATTAATAGTATAGATGAAACGCTCGTGAAAACTAGTGAAATTCTAGCGGTTTAGGCTTTTTTGGGAGTAAAAACCGGTGCGCTACTTCACCGGGAGCGAACAGGCTGTTGTCATTGTGTGGCAGTGGCTTATTCTGCCTCCTAATGTATACACAGTGTCACAGGCATATTAGAGTTTCCACGAAAAATAGCTGGGGCCACATTCAGAGGTATTTTTTTACCTTTTTCAGTGCAGGGGTATGCCCCTTTGCCAGTAGGGCTCTATACATAGCTCAAAAACCTATGTGACACAGAAAAAGCAACTGCGCTGAACCGTTTGCTCCCAGTAAAGACATTCACTGGTTTCTCTCCCACAGAGAATGTATGCATGTATGGAGGAGGTCTATGAAAAATGCTAATAATGCACTTGTAAAACAAGGCCGGAAACTCTGGAACAGAATACAACTGTGTGTGACTGAGGAAGGCTGTATAAACTGGACACAGAAATTAACCCTTCACCTATAACACAGATGACTTTGGACCCAATGGTGTTATCATTTCCATCAGAACATGTCACAGATGTTCCACTGAGATCACTAGTTATTGAGTCAACACTCAGAGAAGAATTCCTAGGGTCTCCATTCACATCAGTCACAGATGATGTGAATATATCTCCTGGTCCACATTTTCTGTGTTAAGGGGATTATTCCGTCTGTAGGTACAGCTGTCTTCATCCTCCAGAGTTGACTGTCCAGATGGTAACATTAGTAGTACTTACTACACAAGTGAATGTCACATCATCTCCAGGACATATTCCACTAGATGGTCCAGTGAACTGGCTCACTGTCCCTGAAATTGTTCAAAGTGGCAGAGTAGCCAAAGAGGCCTTGTACACATACTTACCTAAAAACAAAGCCAAGACCCAGAATCCAGACAACCAGGGTGAGATACTCATCCTTGAATGCTTAGATATGTTTAACTCCTCACAAACGGGGTTAAAGTGTTAATTAACCACTCATGAGGAATGCTTTTTGTACGTGTAGGCAGAGTGTGGGCAACTATTTCAACAGTCCTGGGAATTCCAGGCACATTGCTATGAATAACTGTTGAATTCCCTGCTAAGTTCAGTAGCCAATTTCGCGTGAAGCACTGAAAATTGGTGATCTGTAGTTTTCATACACATGTAAAAACATTCTAAGAAAATAACAGACACATATGACATGTGTTCACACGGCTATCTAAATACACCATCACAGCTGCACTTGTCCATAAGCAGTGTTGCGAGAGGTGGGAATGTTGTCCTTGTGTATAGGACCATAATTATGCCTCATTGGAGGTCAGCTGAATGTCTTGCGAACTCTTGACCTCTCTTGCCACACCCACCTCCTCATAAGTGACTGGTGGAGGGAGGGGAGGGGGAGAGGAGGAGGTGGGGCCAGACGACCTGCCCCTCACTCTCTGTGTGAAGTACTGTCCCATCACTCCCAGTAGAACTCCAATAGTTAGAAACACAAGACTGCAAACAATGCTGGAAACCACTGCTGTAGTGTGACAGCCGTCTTTTTCTGGAGAAACTATGCATTCTTCTGGTTTGCACTCTATGCGAAAATATATTGCATTAACATTTTACTTTTGAGGTGTAATACAACCATTGATTATCTCCACACATTGAGGAGTGGTACCATTCCAGAGGCCACTAGAGAGACATTCTCTGGTAGTGTCTCCCTCTAGACTATAGCCATCATCACAGAAGTAGACTGCCACTGATCCTACACTGTCTCCACTGTAACACACCCCACCACCACTCACTGACCCACACACTCTGTTCTCCTCAACCAGAGAGGGAGACAAGTCCCTCAATGAACAATCTGGTGCACAAGGAAGCACTAGTCATTGAGAGATGAGGTAAGACTGGGAGTTGTCTCACTCACAGACTGGTCTCTCCAGACACACTGTCTGTCTAGTCACACAGCCAGCAGTCTCCACAGACACTCCAAACTCTCCTCTACTGCTGGCTGCTGGGTAGTATGTGTGGCTGCATCGAATGGAGCTACAGTTGACAGCTCCCACTCTCTCCCTCACTCTAGACCCCACTCCATCCTCTATCACCACTGTTACTGTACTCTGGCCCTCCTGATTGTTCTGCTGTTACAACAAGTGGTCATTTTAATAAGCAGATGTGTTTGCGACCATACTTGCTACCATTATGGTGGTTCTATTGATGCTATGCTCTCAGTGAACGACCCATCATCTGGACTATACATGTAGAGGCTCTGCACGATGTCACTCCTAGTCAGAGGACTGAGACGTTTTCCGCTCTCTGTAGAGCACTGACACGACTCGTCAATAATTTTTTCCCTTCAGTACCCTTACGGCGCTATGGTGTTTCCTTAACCAAGCAGATATTGATGTCAAGAATATTACGCCTAGTCTTTAGGGCTAATATTCTATGGGCTTACTGGAAGCTCTGTGCATATCTATTGTCACGCTGGCAAGGGTTAATATTGTAGAGGAGCTGTGTCTCCATTCAGTGATCCACCACATGTATCAGCTCTGCTGGTGATGTCATAGTCCTGACTATGTCACAGTGAGACTTGTACTGGGTCTCAGTACCAGTGGGGTGCATGACTGAACTACACCATTCATGACCATACAGTCTCCAGATGACTGGCAATCAGAGGTGGTGGAGTCAGGGTCAACACATACTGAGGCGCTTGAGCCACCACAACTGATGAAAGGTTCACTCCAGCTGCCACATCCAGAGTACCAGCGCATCATTGCGTTAAACTCAGCTATGTTGAGCAGTAGGTGACTGCGGAGCTGAGGCACTTCCTAAACAAGATAATGTCTGAGGCAAGCATACGAGTTTGAGGCTCTGTCGTACCTATGTACAATACAGATGTTGTCTGTATCAACATTGGTTACCACTAACATTACCATCTGCACATCCAACGATTGCATGGGTTTGATTTGGAAACCGCGAGATAGGTACATTTTCTGTCACTCTCCGGGACTGACAGTCCAGCGGGTAGCTCCACTGTCTACTACACAAGTGAACCTGACATCATCTCCAGGACATACCCCATCTGGTCCAGTGAACTGACTTAGTACACCTAAATTGTGTTAGCTATAGTTATGCTCCCAATTTCCTATAACCTCAGACATTTTACCTGAGAAAGAAGCACAGACACAGAGTGCAGGCAGCCAATGTGTACTCATTTTGGATCACTCTTGTGTGAATAACCCTTTTCTCAGGGGTTAAACAGAACCATTCATGCATGAGAAACTGCCGACATTATTATCTGTCATCCTGTGAATACTAAATTTTACTACAAGTTGGAAAATGGATCATGGCACAGTAAAGCATGTGTGGTTCAACAAAATAATATGTAGCTATCAGGTAAAATTATGACTACAATGTCGAGTACACTATGAAGCCTTAGCATAATGTCAGCAAAGACTGGTCAGAGCAATCTGCACGTTTAGTCCCTTTATTCATGATGTCGTACACTAAATGTAGCTTAAGCCATCTTCCGCGGAGTGAGAACTTATCAGATGTGTTCTCTTCCCCATCAAATGTTACTGCACATGGATAATACTTTGTTCTTGTGAGTGTTATTCATTAACACTACCCAACAACCAGTGACGCACAAACCAATTATTAAGGAACACATCCTACAAAATTCTGTAGAGGGTTGTTACATAGTGTACCGGCAACCTAAAGAGTTATCTAACAAGTTTCAGTTTCTCCGACCGAGATAAACAACTTCAAGAGCATCACAAGTGCACTTGTCCATAAGCAGTGTTGTGAGAGGTGGGAATGTTGTCCTTGTGTATAGGACCATATGCCTCATTGGAGGTCAGCTGAATGTCTTGTGAACTCTTGACCTCTCTTGCCACACCCACCTCCTCATAGGTGACTGGTGGCTGTATGGAGGATAGTGGGTCAACTACCTCATACACAACCTGTTCCTGCTGTGTTTCTCTTCTCTGCATGTTGAGGATAGACACATAAATTTGAAGGAAGGTGTAAATGCAGGTTTTAGATTACCTTTCGGCAACACATAAGTCGCTTTCTTTGCTTCCGTGATTCTCTGAAAAAAGATACATTTCAATAAGAGTGGTCATGCCCAGCTACCAGGGGAGCTTAGGTAGTTAAATTTACTCTCCCTATACCACACCCACTAATTTTGGTTAGTTGATTCATACCCCTGAGATGAGGGAGGGTTAACACACTTGACAGTAATGGGACAGACGAGCCACCCACTCAGGACCAGAAGTGAGAGGACAAAGGAAGCTATCAGTAGACCATCTCTAACACTCACTGTTCCACTGGGAGTCTGACACAAGGAGTCATCTCCTCTCACATATCCATCATCCTCTGAGAAATCTGATGACAAGTGAAATATACACTAATACACTTAATTAGGTTGCCAACCAACCTTACCATTTGCAACCACATATGCAAGGAATGCAAGCCATAGAACAGTCTCTAGAACAGGAATAGCTATCACAAGGAACAATGTTGGAAAACACCAGGCATTGCCTGCAGGGATTGAAACTCTCTGTCTATACAAAAACAGACTACAAACACAGACTACAAACACAGACTACCAACACTACCTTTTGTAGTTCTCTGGGAGAGTAGTATTACCACTACAACAGAAATTCCCACTCCAGCAATGAAGAACAAGAGTCCTATCACTATCATTGCAACGTTTGAAGTACTCAACTTTCCTGGCTGAGAGGCTGCATGAAAATGGAACCGATTTTAGTCACAGACTTAGCAAGATTTCTTTACCTTTTGCTTCAGTAGGTGTCTCTCCACTCCATGACATGTTAACACATGATCTTAGTACTGGTGAATCACTCAAGATGCAATAGTCTTGAGAAGTAGTGTAGTTTGCAGTACTTCCATTGGCAAGCCCAGTGTATGTTGAACACAGAGTGTCACCATTACAGCATATAGTGTTATTAGCCGGGAAAGCTGGGTTGTTACATGACAGTAGATCACCCGCTAAACAAACTGGAAGAAATACAAACATGGAGTAAATAATGATCATTTCCTCTCTGATGTAGACATCACTTTCAATAATCTCTGTTGATGGTGTCCAGCTACCATTATTCAGACATCTCCTGGTGTCACTTCCATTGATATGATAGTGTGCATTAGTGGTGGTGTAGGTAGCAATAGATCCCAGAGACACTCCATCAAATGTAACATTCCCTCCAGAGAATGAGTAGTTACCCACACCATTGGTAAAATTTGCCTCTGGAGTCCAATTAACGCCGGGTACCAGCAAATCATTTGGATCACAAACTGTCAGAAGGAACAAGAATTAGATAATGTACAGAATAAAACCTTGCCTCACTCACAAATGGATATGTCAGAGGCATCGATCCTCTGGGTGACACAACCCAGGACCTCTACAGCCACAGAATATGAGGTAGTGATGTTGTCAGAGGGAAAAGTGTAGCTGCAGTTGTCTCCAGTGCAGTTGCCAATATCAACTGTTCTCTCAACTCCAGATCCATTACTGATGATAACTCTGTAGTCTGCCTCTCTCCCTAGAACCTGACATTAAACCAAGAGTTAATTACTACCATTTGTATGAGAATGTCTTACATAAGCTCTTGGCCAGTTGACAATGATGGAGTCTACATCCAGTGACGTCACGGTGGACATTATATTGTACACATATTGATAGGTGTAAGGTTGATTTGCTCTCTCCATAGCTAGCAATGCAAGTATACATGAAAAATGACAGTGATACATCAGCTAGTGTCATGAAACATTAGAGTAACAGTATTCTAACCTCTTAAATTTGCTGTGTTCATTGCAATCTCTCCAGTCAGTGATCCATCACACGTGTCAGCTCTTACAGTAATGTCACTCTGACTGACATTGACATTGAAAGTGTACTGGTTTTAGATTACCTTTCGGCAACAGATAAGTCGCCTTCTTTGCTTCCGTGATTCTCTGAAAAAATGTACATGCTATGTTCAATAAGAGTGGTCATGCCCAGCTACCATGGGGAGCTTAGGTGTTAAATTTACTCTCCCTATACCACACCCACTAATTTTGGTTAGTTGATTCATACCCCTGAGATGAGGGAGGGTTAGCACACTTGACAGTAGTGAGACAGACGAGCCACCCACTCAGGACCAGAAGTGAGAGGACAAAGGAAGCTATCAGCAGACCATCTCTAACACCCACTGTTCCACTGGGAGACCTACACAAGGAGTCATCTCCTCTCACATATCCATCATCCTCTGAGAAATCTGATGACAAGTGAAATGTACACTAATACACTTAATTAGGTAGCCAACCAACCTTACCATTTGCAACCACGTATCCAAGGAATGCAAGCCATAGAACAGTCTCTAGAACAGGAATAACTATCACAAGGAACAATGTTGGAAAACACCAGGCAGTGCCTGCAGGGATTGAAACTCACTATCTATACAGACACAGACTACACAACACTACCTTTTGTAGTTCTCTGGGAGAGTAGTATTACCACTACAACAGAAATTCCCACTCCAGCAATGAAGAACAAGAGTCCTATCACTATCATTGCAACGTTTGAAGTACTCAACTTTCCTGGCTGAGAGGCTGCAATGGACAGGGAGATTTATAACCATAAGTGTTTAGTCCAAGAGAGCCCTTTACCTTCCATTATAGTGGGTATCTCTCCACTCCATGACATGTCAACACATGTTCTGACTACTGGTAGTGGTGAATCACTCACGATACAGTACTCTTGAGAAGTAGTGTAGGTAGCAGTACTGCCATTGGCAAGCCCAGTGTATGTCGAACATAAACTATTGCGATTACAACACAGCATGTTATCTAGCAGTGGCAGCAGTTGGATTGTTACATGACAGTAGATCATTCTGCAAACAAACTGAGAAAATAGAACGATGATTAATTGGTCTCTTTGGGTCACATGACATTACCTGCAACAATCCCTTGTGATGGAAGAACCCAGTTATCATTTCCACATCTGCTCGTGAATGTTTGACTTCCATTAACAAGGTAACGTTCATTGGTGGTGTAGGTAGCAGTAGATCCCAGAGACACTCCATCAAATGTCACATTCCCTCCAGAGAATGAGTAGATACCCAGACCCCCTTGAAACATAGGAGTTTCACTCCAACCAACGTTAGATATCCGCAAATCATTTGGATCACAAACTGTCAGAAGGAACAAGAATTAGATAATGTACAAAATAACACCTTCCCTCACTCACAAATGGATATGTCAGAGGCATCGGTCCTCTGGGTGACACAACCCAGGACCTCCACAGCCACAGAATATGAGGTAGTGATGCTGTCAGAGGAAAAGGTGTAGCTGCAGTTGTCTCCAGTGCAGTTGTCTTCAGTGACAATATCAACTGTTGTCTCAACTCCAGATCCATTACTGATGACAACTCTGTAGTCTGCCTCTCTCCCTAGAACCTGACATTAAACCAAGAGTTAATTACTACCATTTGTATGAGAATGTCTTACATAAGCTCTTGGCCAGTTGACAATGATGGAGTCTACATCCAGTGATGTCACGGTGGACATTATATTGTACACATACTGATAGGTGATAAAGGTTGATTTGCTCTCTCCATAGCTAGCAGAGCAAAGACATGATCGTTAAAAGTTGAAACTTATACATGAGCTAGTGCAATGAAACACCACACCACATTAAAGTAACAGTATTCTAACCTCTTAAATTCACTGTGTTCGTTGCATTCTCTCCAGTTAATGTGTTATTACAGGTGTCAGCTCTGACAGTGATGTCACTCTGACTGATATCGACATTGAAAGTGTACTGGGTCTGAGTACCAGGTGTGGTGATGACTGAACTACCATCCATGACCATACAGTCTCCAGATGACTGGCAATCAGAGGTGGGTGGAGTCAGGGTCAACACATACTGAGACACAGTGCCACCACAACTGATGACAGGTTCACTCCAGCTCACATCCAGAGTACAGCCATCATTGTTAAACTCAGCTATGTTGACAGTAGGTGACTGCGGAGCTGAGGCACTTCCTAAACAAGAAAATGTCTGAGGCAAGCATAAGAGTTTGAGGCACAGTCGTACCTACAATACAGATGTTGTCTGTACCAACTGGGTTGCCACCAATACCATCTGTACATCCAACCATAGTTTCATTGAGATTTTCTGTAATTGAGGCCACACTCAGAGAAGAGCTAAAGTTGTTTGCACTGCCTTCAGTTTGAGATATTCTAAACCTCTCATCTGGTGGATTGCATGGGGTTTGATCTGGTGAAAGCGCTGAGATAGTTACATGTTCTGTCAGGCTCTCCAGGTGGACTGAAGGTCCAGATGGTGGCTCCACCGTCTACTACACAAGTGAATATGATATTATCTCCAGGACATATCCCATCTAGATTGTCCAGTTAACTGGCTCACTGTCCCTGAAATTATTGTTCCACTATTCAAAATTGGCAGAGTAACCAACAGATCTGTACACATACTTTACCTAAAAACAAAGCAAAGACCCAGAATCCAGACAACCAAAGTGAGATACTCATCCTTTAATGCTTTAGAATTTAACTCCTCACAAAGGGGTTAAAGATTTAATTAGCCACTCAGGAATGTGTGTAGGCAACTATATACTTCAACAGTCATGGAAATTCCAGGCACATTGCTATGAATAACTGTTGAATTCCCTGCTAAGTTCAATGGCCAATTTCATGTGGTGCCAAAAAGCACTGAAAATTCTGTTTTGCAGTTTCCACAAACATGTAAGGATAAACATTCTAAGAAAATAACAGACACATCTGACATGTGTTCACACGGCTATCTAAATACACCATCACAGCTGCACTTGTCCATAAGCAGTGTTGCGAGAGGTGGGAATGTTGTCCTTGTGTATAGGACCATATGCCTCATTGGAGGTCAGCTGAATGTCTTGTGAACTCTTGACCTCTCTTGCCACACCCACCTCCTCATAGGTGACTGGTGGGGGGAGGGGAGGGGGAGAGGAGGAGGTGGGGCCAGACGACCTGCCCCTCACTCTCTGTATGAGGTACAGTCCCACCACTCCCAGTAGAACTCCAATAGTTAGAAACACAAGACTGCAAACAATGCTGGCAACCACTGTTGCAGTTTGACTGTCGTCTTTTTCTGGAGATGCATTCTTCTGGTTTGCACTCTATGAGAAAATATAATGCATGCACTAACCATTTTACTTTGAGGTGTAATACAACCATTGATTATCTCCACACATTGAGGAGTGGTTCCATTCCAGAGGCCACTAGACAGACATTCTCTGGTAGTGTCTCCCTCTAGACTATAGCCATCATCACAGAAGTAGACTGCCACTGATCCTACACTGTCTCCACTGTAACACACCCCACCACCACTCACTGACCCACACACTCTGTTCTCCTCAACCAGAGAGGGAGACAAGTCCCTCAATGAACAATCTGGTACACAAGGAAAGACCAGTCATTGAGAGATGAGGTGAGACTGGGAGTTGTCTCACTCACAGACTGGTCTCTCCAGACACACTGTCTGTCTAGTCACACAGCCAGCAGTCTCCACAGACACTCCAAACTCCCCTCTACTGCCGGCTGCTGGGTAGTAGGTGTGGCTGCATTGAGTGGAGCTACAGTTGACAGCTCCCACTCTCTCCCTCACTCTAGACCCCACACCATCATCTATCACCACTGTGTACTCTGGCCCTCCTGGATTGTTCCGCTGTTACAAACAAGAGGTTTTAACAGATTGTTTGCTACCATACTTGTTACCGGTATTGGTGTCCAATTGACTTCAATGGCTCTCAGTGACCCATCAACTGGACTATACATGTAGAGAGCACTGCATCGAGTGTCAAGTGTTCCTGGGATCAAACATGTTTGTAAGCAGAGCATTATATATTGCAGAGCTCCCTCTGCCCATACATCTATGTCTAGTACTATATGTCCCAACAATTTCTAGTCTACCGTACTGTCCTAAGTTAATATTGTATAGGGAGCTGGTGTCTCCAGTCAGTGATCCACCACATGTATCAGCTCTGACAGTGATGTCATAGTCCTGACTAGTCACAGTGAGACTGTACTGGGTCTGAGTACCAGGTGTGGTGATGACTGAACTACCATCCATGACCATACAGTCTCCAGATGACTGGCAATCAGAGGTGGGTGGAGTCAGGGTCAACACATACTGAGACGCAGTTCCACCACAACTGACGACGGCCTCACTCCATTCCACACTCACCACACACTCTTCTCCTCCTCCCACATCTCTCTCTGAGACGGTGGCTGAGAGAACTTGCACACCAGTTGCATTTCCTGTGATTTTCAGTCGAACTAGATAGCTAGTAAAAAAACAATTCTACTAAGATTATATAGCTAATTATACCTAGAATGCATATGGTCTTAGAGCCAATGATGTCAGTAACATTATATGCCATCAGTACATTCCACTATTGTTCCATTGAGATCCTCAGTTATTGAGACAACACTCAGAGAAGAGTTGGCAGCAGTCTCACTGCCTTCAGTTCGAGATGATCTAAACCTCCCATCTGGTCCACAAGTGTCTGGATCTTGGGCACTCACTGAGATATATACACACTCCATCACTTCCTCCAGGACTGACACTCCAGCGGGTAACTCCACTGTCTACTACACAAGTGAATCTGACATCATCTCCAGGACATATCTCATCTGGTCCATTGAACTGACTTAGTATTCCTAAATTGTGTTAGCTATAGTTATGCTCCCAATTTCCTATAACCTCAGACACTTTACCTGAGAAAGAAGCACAGACACAGAGTGCAGGCAGCCAAAGTGTGCTCATTTTGGATCACTCTTGTGTGAATAACCCTTTTCTCAGGGGTTAAACAGAACCATTCATGCATGAGAAACTGCAGACATATCTGTCAGTCAGTGAATACTAAATTTTACTACCAATTGGAAAATAGATCACAGCACAGTAAATCATGTGTGGTTAAACAAAATGTGTATCAGTTAAAAAGTATGAATACAATGTCGAGTACACTATGAAGCCTTAGCCTAATGTCAACAAAGACTAGTCAAAGCAATCTGCATGTTTAGTCCCTTTCAGGGTGTCGTACGCTGACTGTAGCTTAAGCTAGCTCCACTGAGATGAGATGTGTTTTCTTTCTCCATCATATGTTACTGCGCATGGATAATACTGAGTGTCATATTTACACTACCTAACCACCAGTGACTCACAAACCAATTATTAAGGAATACATCCAACAGAATTGGTAGAGGGTTGTTCACAAGTTTTATGTATATACTGGAATGTTAATCTGGGTCATTATTGAGTTTAAGCATTCTCTTTATTAACTCCTCTCATTGGGGTTAATGGCTGCATGCACAAATGTGTGTTGGTTATGGTGTTAGAACTATGCACATAAACAATCACGGGCCTATAGCAACAGTGTAACAGCAACCTACAGAGCTATCTAACAAGTTTCAGTTTCTCCGACCAAGATAAACAACTTCAAGAGCATCACAAGTGCACTTGTCCATAAGCAGTGTTGCGAGAGGTGGGAATGTTGTCCTTGTGTATAGGACCATATGCCTCATTGGAGGTCAGCTGAATGTCTTGTGAACTCTTGACCTCTCTTGCCACACCCACCTCCTCATAGGTGACTGGTGGCTGTATGGAGGATAGTGGGTCAACTACCTCATACACAACCTGTTCCTGCTGCGTTTCTCTTCTCTGCATGTTGTGGATAGACACATAAATTTGAAGGAATGTGTAAATGCAGGTTTTAGATTACCTTTCGGCAACACATAAGTCGCCTTTCTTTGCTTCCGTGATTCTCTGAAAAAAGATACATTTCATGTTCAATAAGAGTGGTCATGCCAGCTACCAGGGGAGCTTAGGTAGTTAAATTTACTCTCCCTATACCACACCCACTAATTTTGGTTAGTTGATTCATACCCCTGAGATGAGGGAGGGTTAGCACACTTGACAGTAGTGAGACAGACGAGCCACCCACTCAGGACCAGAAGTGAGAGGACAAAGGAAGCTATCAGTAGACCATCTCTAACACCCACTGTTCCACTGGGAGACCTACACAAGGAGTCATCTCCTCTCACATATCCATCATCCTCTGAGAAATCTGATGACAAGTGAAATGTACACT